TATCTGGCCTTGAAATGTTGGTTTGCTGCCTCCCTGCCTTTACTTTTGTGATAATGATGCTGCTAAAGCTGTTCCATGCCTGTTGGCCGAATAACCCAAGCTTGTAATTAACCCTATAAAACTTCGTGCACACGTCTTGGAGGTGCTCAGAGCTTTGGAGCAGAAGCCCCTCTGAGCCCGCCAGCGTAATAAATCTGAGTACTCCAACCCTCTGAGTGGTGCTGGTTTCTTGCTGGCCTGTCATTTCCGTAACATAACCACTGTTTTCACTTTATCCCACACATAAGTTGTGTTTTCATTTTCATTTAGTTCAAAATATTAAAAACGTTTCTCTTGAGATTTCTTCTTTGCCTCATGTGTTATTTAGAAGTGTGTTTTTTGACTCCACATAGTTTGGGATTTTCCAGTTATCTTTCTGTTACTGATTCCTAGTTTAATTTCATTGTGGTCTGAGAGCAGACATTGTATGATTTCCATCCTTTTAAAATTGTTAAGGTGTGTTTTATGGCTCAGAATGTATTCCATCTTGGTGAGTGTTTCATGTGAGTTTGGGAAGAATGTATATTCTGTATATTCTGCTATTGTTGGATGACGTAGCTTATAGATGTCAATTATATCAAGTTGATCAATAGTGTGGTTGAGTTCAATGATGTACTTACTAATATGTTTCTAATACTCAGCACTGATAGTGGACACACCTGTCTTTGCAATGCTATCCATTTTTGCTTCACATAGTTTGATGCTTTGTTGTTAGGTGCATACGTATCAAGGATTGTTATGTTTTCTTAGAGAACTAACTCCTTAATCATTATGCAATGCCCCTCCTTTTTTTTTTAAATAGCTGATAACTTCCCTTGCTTTGAAGCCTATTCTGACTGAAATTAATATAGCTACTCCTGCTTTCATTTGATTAATGTTAGCACAGTATATTTTCCTCCTTCCATTCACTTTTAATCTATATGTATCTTTATATTTAAAGTGAGTTTCTTATGAAGAGTGTATACCCAGGTCTTATTTTTTGAGCCACTCTGACAATCTCTGTGTTTTAATTGGTACATTTAGACCATTGATATTCAAAGTGATATTGATTTGGTTGGCTTAATATCTACCATATTCATTACTCTTTCCTATTTGTTGCCCTTGTCCTTTGTTTCTATTTTTGTCTTGCACTCTTTTCCTGTATTTCGTGGTTTTAAATGAGCATTTTATATGTTTCTGTTTTCTCTTTTTTTAAATGGTTACTTTAGAGTTTGCAATGTGCATTTGCAGCCAATACAAGTGCACTTTCAGATGCCTGTATACCACTTCACAGGTAATGTGAGTACCTTATAATATCAAAATAATCCTAATTTCTCCCTCCTGTCCCTTGTATCATTGCTGTCATTCATTTCACTTATATATAAGAATACACAAGCATACGTAAACAGAAGATATATATGTAAATGTGCATAATCAAATACATTATTGGCATTATTTTATACAAGCTGTTATCTGTTTAAGAAAAAATTAAGGTGTTTTTTTTAAACCTTCACTTATT